CAATATTAGTGCAATATTACTGTGATAATACTGCAATATTAGTGCAATATTACTGCAATATTACTACAAGATTATTCCACTATTAGTGCAAAATTATTACAGCATTAGTGCGATATTAGTGTGATTTTAGTGCAATATTAGTGTGATATTACTGAAACTTTACTGCAATATTACTGTGATAATACTGCAATTAGTGCGAGTAGCTCAGAGACAAATCACTCTGCAGGACAGACTCGCATGAAGATTTAAGAGCCTCATGTTCTTTCCAGGCACTCGATTTGTTTTGAGCCCTTTTTAGCAACATTAGCGTCGTACGCCACACACGCGCACACGCACGCACACACACACACGCACATATAGAGAGAGGGTGTGTGTGTAAAAAGAAGCGTGAAATCACAAAACGACTAAATCTGACATCTCCTGTGTGCAGGTTTTAAAAGGACTCGCTCCCTGAAACAAACCAGCGAAACCTTTAAATCTTAAATCAGCTGTTTCATACAAACACAACCAAACTGTTTCCCTTTTCCGAAATATCCAAACGAGTCACCAATGAAACCTTTACGTTGTAAAAAGGTTGGTATTTAAAGACTGTTCATAATTCGATTACAGGCCCGGACATCTCTCCGCGCTCCTCCGTGTCCCGCAGGCCCGAGAGCCTTTAAGTCTTAATTCTAGGGGCGAAAAATAATAATGGCGCTTCTCGCACCTTTTACACAATCGTACATAACTTAGCTGATTAGGCCTCTGCATGTATAAAAGCCCTTTGGGAACTATGTCGAGGATGCTGATATGTCCCTTCTGCCGGACTAATAGAGGGCATTGAAACATAACACCGGACAAAGCCGGGCCCATTTCTGACCGTAAAAAAGGTTTATTCAAGCAAATAATGGGATCCGAGGCTCGCGGCTTACAGGGAATAAGAGCACGGTAAACTTCCCCGCGTGAAGCCCGTCTCCAGGGCTATTAAGCTTTTAATTGGAAAATAGCAGAGGAAATTTCAAGGTGACTAGAGTGGCTTTGCAGTTTGTGCCGGCCGAGTAGATTTGTGGGAGTGGGAGGCTGCGGGTGAACGCATAATAAATTTATTCGTGTTGTTCACGATAAAGATTAAAACACGTTCGGGATGAAAGTTTATACTGCAGCGTCTCTGTTAGAGCTGCGGCTCTGCAGGATGCTGGAGGGACTCCTGCGTTTCCACGTCACGCACAAGGTGTCCTTTAGCGCCCTGACGCGCTGGTCGCGGCCAAATTAGCCACCGTGAGGTGAGGGGCGGCTCTGGAGGGGCATCGCCTGCAGTGTTACCTGCTTCAGTTCAAGCCTGAGTTGGGTTTAAACACCTGCTCGCTGTCTGTGACCGCGCTCGCTGACAGCCCAACACGCGTGGGTGACAGATTAAAATAAGGTTACTCGAATTTACTCGCTAAGATGTTTCACGTTACAAATGTAATCCAAATTAAACTTGTGCCAGTCCGCTCAGTCAGTATGTGTTATAGCCCAGATTTATATGTAGCTGTGCCAACGTAATATTAAGTCAACGAAAGCGCCCACGCACATGTAAAATGTTAATAATCTCAGATTTGAGACCTTTGATATTAAAACACCGCCTCACGCTGAGTTTCTGAGCTGCTCCAACGCAGAAGTAACTAAAAGTAAATAAATACATGAAGTTCTGTGTGTGGTGCTGTATGTGCATCAGTGCATCAGCATATTTATATCCAATATTTTCACATATGTGGGTGAATTTGAAAAACGTGCTTTGTTCTGCCTTCTACAGGAAATGTGAAGTTGTCCTGCAGAAGCTCAAAATGACAGGATTGCATATAAGAGTATTTAAAATAAGCTCAAAGTCACACGTTCTTTTACACATGCAAAATTATAATGTGCCTAAAGCAACGTGCCATTTATTAGAAGAATAAGATCCCGACAACAGACACAGGAGAATTTAAAAGACTAAAAATTAAATTATTTTGGCAGCGCCACACAGTTTAACAGTGTTTTGTTACTTTTGAATAATTGTTCAGCAAAGCAGGAAAAGAAGCATTTATACTCTGATATTGAAGGATTACATTTACCTGAAAAAATGTAAAAATATATTCAAAGTAAAAATAATGATTCTCTTTAAGGTGTCAGCTGAGGATGATTGATGTGTTTTTATATTTTCCTTATATTTATTTATTGGATAAAAGTGCATCTTTTCGAGACTCCACGTTGACTTGGTTTCATTATAAATCCTGTTATTATGAGAGATCGTCGGGCTCATTGGTCAGTCACACAGAGCTCTGTGAACTTAAACCACGTGACCTCCATCCTGCAAATCTGGACTCAGATTAATGTGTCGAAGCCTTTTTTCAGTTTTTGCTTCATAAACGGAGTTCCAGTATTTATTTTAGGCAGTTTTGTCCACGACACAAAACCTTCCCACGGTGCTTTCTTTGCACTTGAGTCTCTCCTCATGTTGGAGCTCCTGTTTGCACTGGCTGAGGGGACTCCTCCAGCGGGGCCCCTCCGGAGCAGGAGGAGGAGCTGACCTCTGCTGAGTGAGGTTTTTATGAGGTGCTGATTGGGGGCGTCGCTGCCACTCACAAGTCCTGTCACAGAAACGCTGATTTAACTTTCCCTGGGGAGGCGGGACACCGAGCTCCTACAGAGGAATTAGCTGGACATCTGACGTCTTTAGAAAGCTGACCGAGGACATCAGTCAGACGTCAGCCTTCATCCAGGCCAAAAGGGAAAGGCTGTGATTTTAAGACCGCTGCAAGAAAATCTATAAGCGGGCAGTAAAAACAAAACACTGAATAAATTAAACAGAAATATCAGCAAAGCGTGCGCACGTGAGTGTGTCATTAATATTATCTCAGAGTTATAGATTATATTAACATCTCAAACTGAGCTTTTCTCTTATTATCTCACATTTGTAAAATAAATAAATAACTGTTATTATCATCATTAAGGAGGGCAGGTCGTTTTTATTTGACTTGCATGTAAAGCTATAAAATGTTTGAAGATGGCTAAAATTTTATGGCGTTCTTTACGCGGCTGCTCAACCCCGTCGGTGCCGGGCAGGAGAGTAAATTTGATGATGAGAACTACAAAAAAGGAAAGATGCAATAATAATAGTAAAAAACAGGACGAATACAAAGTGGTTTAAATCTGAAGTTGTCATACAAAATGTGATTCATTATTCGAACGAATGAAAACTATTTTCATATAATTTCAGGAGTTAAATAATCATTTAGATTTTTCTGTGCAAAACTATTAACGTGTCGTTATTCTAGAAAGATTATTTTATGAGCTTATTATGTCATACACAGAGTGCTGATGCAGGCCTGCTGGTCTGACACTGAGATTCAAATAAAACTGATTTAAAAATGTATTTTGGGTGCAGAGGGAGGCCAACAACATAACACTTTGAGAGCTTCTTGGTATTTTACTGCATGTCTTGCAAGGTCACAATCTCTTTTTGAGATATAGATAAGTATAAAAAAGGCCATTTTTAACGATGAACTAATCTCTTCATACCAACATTAGGCCGTGACTGAGGCCTCTGGTCGCACTCTGTCCTCCCAAAGGCTGCTCCGTGTCTCAGATCAGGGAGGTGAACCTGGAAGTTCGTCTTCACAGTTTGGCCTTTTATTGATGCTCGGCTTTCAGGACAGACATTTATGAACAAAGCTCGTTCTGTCCTTCAGACAGTCGTGCTCTCAGTAAACCAGCTGAGGTCAGTGGCTGCTGATACGTACAGAATACTTGAAGTACGCGCTTTA